GTTGAAAAAAGCCCCAGCCCCTGCAGACGTTCACCCAGAACCAGCTTTTTACCTTCCCATTCCAGTTCGTTCCCATTCCCTAGGAATTCGAGGGAATCTGTCTCGTCAGGAGTTTCGATATCATCCACATTAATGTCCAGGTCATCCGGTGTGTCCAGGAAGTCATCGGAGAGAATGGAGCCTTCACTCTGGTCCAGGGAAATGTTGATTTCAGGTGCAACAAGTGTCTTCCGCTTACGATGCGCCCCGTTAAAGTTTAAAGTATTGGGGGGAGCTGGAGTTAAAAGGAAAATAACTGACAGGTTGTCCTCCTGCTGTACCCTGAGTGCAAGACATGCTGCTGTCACTATCACATTGCAGGCTATGGTCTTGGAAGCTAAGGGTGGTGGATCAGAGCTGGGCACTACTGGACACCTACAGGTATGGGTGGGTAAAAGTACCCACACTTCCAAGACACCTTCCTCCTCCCCCGGCTCCTTGTGAAAGATTAGCAAATCCAAATCTCTGCTGGTTTCATCTCCCACATGGGAATTTTGGTGGATACTCCAAGGGAACTGGCTTCTGCCCTAACTGCAAGCTGGTACTTACAGGATGTGTTCTCATCTTCCATAGGGCTGCCCAGTGACTCCATCCCCGTCTCCTCCGGGAGAGGTCTGCAGGCAAGCCGAGATGTGGAGGTCAAAAGACAGGAGGTAACACATAATGTTAGGGAGAAAGGCCCTCCATGGCAGCCAGTGCAGAGAAGTGGGGACATCAGGGGAAACCATGCAGCCCTCTGTGTGCTCTGCCCCTTCACTTCTGCCTGACAGCTCAGCCTGAGGGACACTGCCCAAGAGCAGCCCAGCAACTGTGCTCTCTGCCTGGAGTCCTGTGCAATCCCTGGTAACCTCCAAGCCATCCCACCAATGCATCCCTCCTGCTGCCATTCAGCCAAGAGGCTTGAAAACCCAGCCAGGGACAAGGGAACAAATCCTGTTCCCCGATGAGCCTAGTAGCATCCTCACTTTCTCCATATCACCCCCATTTTTATCTCCATCAGAAGTCTGAGAGGCAGTGGCAAGCTCTAGGGCACCTCATCAGGGGAACCAGGGAGCATCTTCTGCAGTTGTCTGTGCTCCTGTTCCCAGCACAGTGTAGGCAATGCAGTGGGCTGTCCAGACAGCCGGAATTCAGCTGTTCCTAAGCCCAGGGAGGGATGCTTTGATCCCAGCAGCAGCTGAACTAGAGCTGGATGCTGAGCACAAGAGCACTTTGTGCTCTCCTCTAATGGCTTTGTGAAGTGCATCCTGCTTTATGTCACAGGCCCTGGCTGCAGCAGAGAACTCCATCCAAACACAACCACCTCTCCCAGGAGGCAGGTCAAGAGAGAGCACCTTTGCTCTAAGGCAGTCAGTGTTCAACACAAGGGTCAAATCTCAGTTGTGATCCCAGAATTGTCACCTCAGCCTCATCTGACAAGAGCTGACGGTGACACCCAAACCCTGCCAAGGGTTGGAAGCAGGTTCATCCTGAGCTAAGATGCAGGTACCAGCACTCAAACCTTATTTTGGACCCAAAGGCTGACCCACTGCTCCCTTCCTGGGTTCCATGGCAGAGATCAGGATCTGCAGCTTGTACTTGGCTCCTGTGAAGGAGGGTACCAATCCCCATGTCTCCAGCTAGAGGCTGGAAGCACCAATTCATTTAAAGTTGACTTTCCTGTACAGATGCTAATGCCCAATCTCATTATGTGGCTGTCACCCTCTGGAAGTTGATGAAGTTACCCCAGTCTTGGTCAGGAGCAAGTAAAGTCAGGATATGGCCCCCAGTACTGCAGCCAGGAACCCTGGCTGGTGGCTGAGCATCACTGCCACCCTGAGCTGGACACCTCCTGCACACTTTTCCCCTTCATTTGAGCTGGGCCTTGTGCCTGTTCCCTGGTGACCAAACCCCACCAACCCCCAGACAAGTTCATGTTCTCAAAGGTCTGTTTAAAAGGGGCCTTCTGAGCTGTCCTTGTTTCACCTGCCCCTTGCTGGAAGCTCCACCTCAAGGGGGGAAGAGCTCGTGCCCCCAGGCATGAAATCCTGGGTGCTGGGACAGGGGGGTACCCACCAGTCTGAGGACAGCACCCAAAGGGATGGGGCTGTGCACAGGGCTGGGGTCCAGGGGTGATGGAGCCCAGTACCTCTGCATCCACAGGCTCTGCCCTACAACAGCTCCTCTTTGTGCTGGCATCACACCAGAGCCACCAGCCAAATTAAACCCTATAAATATTTAGATTAAGGGATAATCCTCTCCTAGCTGGTTATTGTATATTTATGAGGGTTGAAGGCCTGATCAAAGGCGCTTGCTCCTTGCTTGTGCAGCACCCAGACCCCGTGGGCTGCCACAATATTCCTGAACACCCAGAAAGGTCCCTCTGCCCCTCTCCAGCTCCTCCTCCTCCCTTTTGCTTTTGTCTGCAGGGGGCCTGGCTGCTTGTTTGTCTGTGAGCTGTGCCTGGCACAACTTGAGGATAGAGCATCACAAGGGGACCAGGCCCAGCCGGACCTGAGTACGTGCTGCAGTCGGGCACTCTGTGCTCCAGGGCTAGGGTTCATTTAAGGAAAGCAATTCTAAAGTCAGGGGTGAAGAAAAGGCTTTTCTTACCTTCCCCAGGGGGCTCAGCTCACCACCTCCCAGTCTCTCGGGTAAATCCTCCTCCCAAACGCAGCCAGCCCCAGATGCTCTGAAGGAAGCAGGTTCCCTACGCGCCGGGTGCCACCATTTTCCTTCCTGCTCCCACTTTCCTTCTCTAAGCACCTTCTCTCGGGCCCCAACGAGCCCGAGCCGTGAGTGCCCGTGAGCCGCGGGATGCTGATGGAGTGAGCATGCTCCTGCATCCGCCCCGCGGCAGCTACAGCATCAGCGCAGGACCGCGATGCACAAGCGGCTGAGACACTGAACCCTTCCGGGAGCAGCAGGACCCTTTCCTCCCCGCTCGCTCAGTGCCTGGCGCTGCACCTTGGAGCTTGTGCAGCGCATCCGCTTCTCCCCGGGGGACGGGGATGTCACCGAGTGTCCTTAGTGAGCGGCTCAATTCACTTTTCCCAGCCCTGAGCTTTGTCTAGGATACGGCTGGGTCTTTTTTTCTTCTGTGGCAAGATTGGTTAATCACAGCTAAGCAAAAATAGCTATGCAGCAAATCATCTGCTGGAGAGCTCTGTCCCACATGCAGCAGCTTCTGCCCTATTATTTTAATACTTCTGGGGGGGAAGTGTCTTGAAAATGATCATTTCTTTATTTCCAGTGCTAGCTAAACACAGCTGCAGCCACTCGTTTGCCTCCTGTCTGGTTGGGCCCTATTGCACTTGCATCATCCCTGATTTAAACCCTCTGCAGCAGCCCATCAGCAGGCTGGGGACCTTGCCACCCAGCCTTGGTGACATCCCTTTGCCTCCCCCTGTGCTTTGTTTGCTGGGTGGGAGCGATGCTGCCTGTATTAGATGGTGCTGAGGGCTCTGCAGAAGAGATGCCCCTGAAGGCTTGACTGTGGCTGGGGTCAGTTTGCTGCTTGCAGGGCAAGTGTGAAACAGAGCCTGTGAGCTCCTGCTCCAAGGTGATGGTGTGGGTTAGTGCCTGGGTGTCTGGGTGCTAGACTGGCTTGGGCCTAGATTTTATCATTGAATCCCAGACTGCTTTGGGTTGAAGGGACCTTAAAGCTCCTCCAGTTCCAACCCCCTGCCATGGGCAGGGACACCTTCCATTAGAGCAGGTTGCTCCAAGCCCCTGTGTCCAACCTGGACTTAAACACTTCCATAGCCCTTTGGGGAGCTTTGAGTCAATGCTTTCCCTTCTGTACCTCACTTTCCCTTCTACTCAATTGGAAGCTTGTCAGCACAGTGCTCTGGGGGAGCCTCAGGTTGGCAGAGCTCCATCAGCCCAAAGCTCAGCTCTCAGAGGAAAGAAAACCAAGGAACCCATCCGAGGAACCCAAGGCCTTGGCTGAGCCCATCTCTGGCCAGCGGAAGGATGAGCCGTGTCCCACGAGCCGCGTGCTGTGCTGGCAGACAGAGGTGCTCAGATCAGTGCTGCAGCTGGAGCCAGGGTGAACAGAGCCAGGCTCATCTGCGGTGCCAAGGGGAACAGGAGCCCCTTTCTCGGAGGGCAGGGGCTGTGTGTGCCCCCCCGCAGAGCACACTGTGCCTCTGTCTGGGCATACAGCAGCTCTGTGGGCTGCTCACGGAGCTCAGCTGCAGCTGGGACAGGGAGACACAGCCCTGAAAAGCCCCTCAGCAACACAGACCCCAGCTGCAGGAGGGGTTGGTGTTGGCCAGTGCTGGATGCGTGGGGCAGCACCAGGCAGATGCACCCTTTGGGTGGCTGTTGGCAGTTGAGGGCACGCTGAGCGTACAGGGATGCTCTCTTTGATATTCCATACTATTAACAAAGCATCTGTGAAGGTGAAAGATGGCACTTTGGCACCTTCTGTCACCCACACATCATCTCTTACAAGGTTTGAAACCATTCAGGTTCTGCCTGTCAGTGCCCATGGTCATTGCATCCCAATGACTCTGCTTCCTGTGGTGTATTCCTAGCAAAGCAGCCACTGCTCTGTCTGGGGAGATACTGCTTGATTCAGAGACTGGGAAGGAGTCCATCCATCCACCCCCATGTGCATCCATCCATCCATCCATCCATCCATCCATCCATCCATCCCTATATGCATCCTTACTAATCTCCCTGTACTCCATACCAGCTCCTTACCCTCTACTTGGTGTGCTCACAGAGGGTTGCCAGAAGCCTCCCAGAACTACCAAGCATTCAGAGCAGCCTTGCTATAAAAGCTCTGTTCTCTGGCCAGAGCTGCCCTGTTGGAGTTCAGACTCCTGTTGCCTCTGGTGGGAGGGCCCTGCATGCTCCACACCCTGCAGGTTTCTTACAGGAAGAAATCAAATTCTCCTTGACTTTTTTGGCAGGGAACAAACCTTGGGAAGTCCTCATCTTGCCACTCTTCCTTCACATCCACGTTTTCCATCCGCAACGTGGCCTCTGTGGTCCCCATGGTGCTCAGAGAGGGGCTGGCTGCACAGCAGGTCCCTTGAGGAAGGGCTTGGGCTGGAAGGTGGAAGGCAGAGGTTGGCACCAAACCCTTCAGAGCAGGTATGCTGACACCCTGCCCCACAGAGCAGGAAGGGTAAGGGGACTTGTGGCTACTTCATGCTTTGGGCAAGGAGGTGAGGCTGGCCCTGGCCTGAGGCAGTAGGTGTATCTCTGCTGTTGTGGCCTTAGCTCGTCTCCCTGGGAATCAACACTCTCTGGGCTCATGTCCACCCATTCTCCCCTTGCTGCTGCTCTTCCAATACTAACCTCAACATAAACAGCACCTCTGAAGTGTGGCAGAAAGGGAAGAGAGGAACTTGCCCCTCCCAGGCTGCCTGGAGGCTGGGTTGGCAGAAGCACCATTTAGCTGGCTTGGGTAGAAGTTAATGGCTTTGGGTTTGGGTTTTGCAGAGCAATCCCCGACTGCTGCTCCTGGTTCGTTCTCCATCCCCACGCTTGTCCCTGCGCCCTGAGAGAAATGGGGCTGAGGGCTGAGGACCAGCTCTGGTCGGAGAGAGCAGGTACACTGGATGCTGCTGTGGCTGAGTCTGGAGGGGACAAGGTCAGGCCTTATCCTGTACAGAACACGCTGATGTGAAACCAGCTCCTATGTTGGGAATGTGCATTATCCCACTGCAGGTCAGCTCTGAAATGTTCTTCCTGCACTCAGCTTTTGCACTGTAAATATATCCAGGTTCTGGCTGGATAATAATGTATTCTTTTTAGGATAAGGGACCCAGGGTGATTTCCCAAGTGGATGGGGCTGCTCTGTCTGTCCCCCACTGCCATGGAAATCAGCATCTAGCAAAGCCTGACCCATTGCTGTGAGGCTTTTCTAGAGAGCCGGTGCCTTTTCTGCTTCCTTTGGAGGCTTGTCTTTACAGGGGATGTTGCTGGTGATGATCTGGAGGGAGATAAATCTGTTTGTGTGTATCTGCTTTAAAGGAATGTAGAGGCCTGAGTAAATCCAGCATCCGCCTTTATGACAGGCACTGGCAGAGACTGGGATCAGAGCAAAGAGCTGCTGGGAGCGTGGCAGCTCTGAGCCCATCCCAGCACACACATTCTGCATCCTGTCCTTACGCTGGGCGGCATGCGATGCCCATGCCACTGTCACACATGCCTCCATTTTTGCTTGCTCTGCATGCAGTCAAAGGAGATACCTGGGGGCTGAGACCCCACCTTCCCTCCCTCCTCCCCACTGCTGTCATCTGCTTTCTGCTAACCCTGCACGCATCATGGAGGGAGGAAGAGAAAGGAAAGGTATGAAGCAAATCCCAGGCTGGAGTGGGATGTTTCTCAGTATCAGACATCACCCAGCAGCATGGAAGCCCAGATGATGCTGTACTCACCAGTGCCTGTGGCTAGTGAGGAACAAAGGAGATCCTGCCTGTATCCCGGGTAGGCATTCCTCCCGATGGAGACGGGCTGCTCAGGAGGTCCAGCGCCTGGATCCGGACGCAGACGTGTGCGGCTTTCCCAGCGGAGCAGTGTGGGGATGCATCTAGGTCGGCCTTTCTCACAGCACTCCTTGCTTGGTGACTCGGATTTGCTGCAGGGGGGTGAATTGAGGGCAGTTATTTGTATTCTTCCATGGCTGCTGCTTCCTCTGCTGCCTCCCTCCCTTCCAAGGTAGCTGATTATTGCGTTCTGCTTGCAGCTGGCTAAGCCTCAGCTCTAAAGCAGCCAATTGCTTTTGTGTGTGAGGAGGATGGCGGTGGTGGTGCTGGCAGGGAGGGGGGTGCTATGGAGGATGGGAGGAGAGAGGAGCTGAAAGCACCCCCCTTCCAGTGTCACCGCTCCACCAATTGGCTGCAAGGTACCAAATATCTCCCTACACTCTTCCTCCAGATGAATGATGCTGCCGGGGCTGAGCAGCCTCCTTGCTGCTTTCAGTGGGAGCGAGGGATGCCCATCATCCAGCAGGATCTAGCCCTGGAGGAGGTGGGAGCTGGAGAGGGGTGGCTGGGAAGGGAAGGGCTTTTTAATACAGTGCATCATTCACTTAGAAAGTGAAAGGTGGCCTCAGCCTGTGGTAGGGTGCAGGATTTAATGGTCCATTTTGCCTTGCATATGCAAAGCTCATTTGTACCTGAACCTCAGGCACTGGTCTCACTTCTGGCTGCACAGACCTGACAGAGAGTCCTCCTTGTGCTGGGGTGTCAGCTTCTCTTCCAGAGAGTCTGTAACTGCATCAGAGCCCGAGACCATTGCTGGTTCCTTTGCAAATCTAAAAGTGAACGAAGCAGCAGTGATTTTCACCTGCCTTCTGGTTCCTGGGCTCCATCCAACCCTTTCTTCCAGCTTGGACCAAAGCCTCAACCCAGCCACAGGCAGACGCAGGTCAGTTTGATGCCTGCTGTCAAATTCCCTCCCACATTCACATCGTGCAGGCTCTGTGCTTCCCGCTGTACAGAGATGAAGGTAACTCCTGCTTTAGTGGTGACCCCCAGGGACAGAAGTGTAAAGGTTTGTCTTCTGCCCCCTTCTGCAGTCTCAGCATGGGGCTGTAGGGACAGGCCAAGGGGAATGGCTTGAACCTGCCCGAGGGGAGACTGAGCTGAGCTCTTAGGCAGAAGCTCTTCCCTGTGAGGGTGCTGAGGCGCTGGCACAGGGTGCCCAGAGAAGCTGTGGCTGCCCCATCCCTGGCAGTGCTCAAGGCCAGGTTGGACACAGGGGCTTGGAGCAAGCTGCTCCAGTGGAAGGGGTCCCTGCCTGTGGCAGGGGTTGGAGCTGGGGGAGCTTTAAGGCTCCCTCCAACACAAACCAGGCTGGGATTTGATGGTTAATTCTGTGAGTGGCTCCCGTGGGATGAGGTGCTAAGGACAGTATTTCCTCAACCTAATGTCACTGTAAGGAAAGTGACACACATCAGTGGTAGCCAAATGCTGGCAGCTCCTAGCCACATGCATGGTCAGCCTGGTAGATCCTGGATCAGAGGGTTGGTGAGGTATTACCCTTCAATACCTGAGCATCCTGCCCCTGAGGGTGCTCAGGCATTGGAACAGGCTGCCCAGGGCAGGGCTGCAGGCACCGGCCCTGCAAGGGTTCACACAGCCTCAGTGCCATGGGTTAGGGGTGGCCTTGGCACTGCTGGGAATGGTTGGACTGGATGGGCTTAAAGGGCTTTTCCAACCTGGCTGATTTTATGACTCTACGGTTTTGGGCATCCCTGTGGTGCAGGTTACACAGGATACTTACGGATGCTTTAGGGATGTATTATATTTCTTTATATGTGTATTATATATTTCTGTAGTAGAAGCAGTCAGAAGATCCATGAGGACAGAGACGCCAGGAATCCTGTAACACTTGTTGGCTCCAAAGTCAATTGTCAGATGCTGCAGGTTCATCTCTCGTAAAGGTGAATATTTGCCTTTTACCTTCATTTTTATATAAACCCCTCTCTTTTCCCATGTTTCCCAAGGCAGTTTAAAGCTGAGAGGCACAGTGTGCTCTGCCGGGGGGGGGCACACGGCAGCAGACGTGTGCATAGGGCAGCGTATGAATGCCATCTACTGGCTGCATTCCTGGGCTCTGGAGCAAGTGTCCTCTTTCCAAAGCCATCCCCTGCTCACCGAGGTATTTCATTGAGCACATTCTGATGGGCTGAGGTAGCCCAGCTCTGCTTGCCAGGCCCAATGGCTTTGCTGGGACTCCGTTTTCTCTGGGTACTCTGGGATGTATGAAGTGAGCACTGCACCAAGCTGCTTTCCCAGCACTGCAATTCCTCCAGGAATTCTGTGCTGAGCCCAACTCCTGTGGAATCCTGCTGGTTTGGAGGAGGTGACAGCAAGGCAAGGGGAAGGGTTGTGCAGGATCAGGTCCTTGCTGGCTCTGGGTGTTTTCCCAAGCAGCTTTCCCTACCCTGCTCCAGCCTCTCTCCCAGGCTCCTCTCACTTGGAATAGTGTGGTTTAATGTCACCTGATAGCTTGATTTTCCAATCTGTGAGCCAAATACTCACATGATGGGGAGAAAAGGAGGGGATGTGGAAAGACAGTGACCTCCATGTGAGCATCCTTATTTCCCTTGATTTAGATGCTCATTCTGAAGCAGTGAGAGCTTGTGCTGATGGGGACTTTCTGCAGCCTTGCAGGTCGCCAGCAGCCCCGAGGCTCTCGGTTACTCACCCACCTGTAGGAACCTGCGATAGAAATTACTAAGTGCTGGTATTATCCTTTATTAGGTTACTTATTACCCAGCTGCTGCTCGGACGCAGGTGGAAGCCGCGGCCAAACCTGTTCCCGAGTCTTGCCATGGGAGGGCAGTGAATCCCCCCCGACCGCTTGTGCCTGCAGCGGGAGATGCTCGGAGCGGGCTGTAGAGGTCCCCTCGCACCAGGAGATGAGTGGAGCTGAGACGGGAAAGGCTCCTTTCTCCGAGGGGAAAGCACAAGCGGTGAGTTTGACCCTGGTGTGGTGCCTCCTTGAAGATGGGCTGAGATGCTTACCCCAAAAGCCAGGTTTGAAGAGGTCCCGCTGCTGAACCAAGGCTCTTTGCAAAGGAAAGGGTAAGAGATGCTCACTGGGCAGAGTGGGAATTGCTGGCAGCCAAACTCTGACCCTCTCCAGACTCTGCACAGATCAGTGTGCCAGAGCCGAGAGCTCACTGTGCTCTGCACACTGCAGGCCTATGGCTTGTCCCTGTGTGTGCACAGCTGCAAGGTTTGCATGTGTGTCTGAGTGGTTTCAAGGAGCCTGGTTGAGGGTTAGGGCATTTTAAATGTCTGTCTTCATGACCAGGGCATTAAAACATTTGCATCTGGAGAGCATCCCAGAGAGGGAGGTCTGGGCATGAATGGGGTCGGAGATCTCCACACTCTCCTCTGGTTTCCTGAACCCATCTTTAGGTGGAGATGATGACAGAGCCCAACACTCCAAAAACCCAAATGAGAAATATCCATAGGCTGTTTACTTTACTTTCCACCCATTTTTGAGGTGGAAATTGGGCATTTCCCAATCTTTCCCCAAGTCACGGGCATTCCCATGAACCCATCAGCCCAGCTGATGCGCCCATCAAATGCTGAGTGCTGACGGTGGCTGGTTCCAACACACTCTGCCAAGTGGGCCCAAGCTTGTGGGTCTAATGAAGAAGGGAAGAAATGGATGCCTTAATAAGTGCAATGCATCAGCATGAGCTGAACCTTGTACTAAACTGCAGAGAATCCACACAGGCACAAGACATTGTGAAAACAAAGCTCTGGGAAGGGTTTTCCGAGTTTACACCTTACTGGAGGAGCCAAGCAGGAGGTGTAAGGTCTGCACAAATCCAGCTTGTTCAGACAAGCTGCTCACAGGACTCTCTTTGAAATGCCTGTGGTTTCCTCTTTTACTAAGCTGCCTCCTGGTTTTCTCCCCTTGCAGGTCAGGCTGAGGTTACAGGTTTCCTCTCTGTTTCTGAGGGTAAGAAATGTACATTTTATCTGAAACACTCAAGTGCAAAAACCCCACAAACTGGAGCTTGCAAACAGCACAGAGCTCGCTGAGACTCTCAGACTCCCCAGGGCTGGTGATGCTGCAGCTTGTGGGGGTTTGATGAGGCTGCTGTATCCCTATGGAGGTGACTGCAGCACCTGGGTGCTAAAGCTGGTGATAAAATCCCACATAATGAGGATGGCTGAGGCTGGAAAGCACCTCTAGAGATTGTCTAATCCAACCCCTGCTCAGCACAGGAGCAGCCAGAGGGGGTTGCTCAGGGCTGTGTCCTTCATCCAAGGATGAAGACTGCCCAACAGCCCTGCACGACCTGCTCCAGCGTGCTGGATGTGTTGGAATGTGTTTTACCCTTCCAGTCAAAAACCAACCAAAATTCTCTTCCATTGAAAGGGAATTTCCTGTAGTTCAACGCATGGCCCTTGCTTCTTGTCCACTGGGCACCAGTGGGAAGGGTCTGGCTCCAATCACTTTAAGCTAGCCTGGCTGAAATTAAGAGCAAACGTTTGTAGGGAAAATAAAAGCTATTTTGGTTCCTTTGAAATTATTTACAACTTGAACCAAAGTTTGGAGGAAAAACTACAAGAGTATTTTGAGGATGAAAAGCATCAGGCCTTGTCTGAGATATGCTTGAAATTAAACGCTTTAACTTTTCATTACGCTGTGACATTCTCCATTTGAAATTTGCCTGCCTTTAATTAAAAAAGCTGGGGACTGCAAGTGCCTTCAAACATGCAGTGAAATGTTTTATTTTGGGGAGAACAAAATGTTTTCATTGCCTCCACTTAAAGAACAGAAAAGTATTTTACTGGGGCAAATAGAATCATAGAAATCACCAAAAATAGGAAGCTTTCATCTGGGTTGGTTTAAAGAGAAAGAATTTCCCTCTTCCTACTTTTTTTACATGATTTTCAAAGGATAGAGCAGCT